GGCCCTTCCTGCCCTCCTCCCTGGGCTTCCCGGCCTGGCCTGGGGCCTCCAGGCGCTGCTGGTCGGCGTGCTGTCACGTGATGCCCGTCAGTGCCGCGACGCGTCCGGTGTGGCCTGGGACAGGGAGCCTCTCCCCGGGGACCTTGCGGGACGCGCGGGACGTCTGGAAGGAGTATGGCTGAGGATGCAGCCCTGGGGCCCTGAGCGGCTCAGCGGCTCCACCTCCACCAAGCAGAATCTTGCAAACAGGCCCCCCTGTAATAGCTGGTATGTAAAATAAGCTTTCCCCCCCATGGAGGAGAAACCACGTGAGCTGGCAGGAGGCAGCAGGTCTCCACCGAATGATTTTTCCAACCCCCCCGGGTGTGTTGCAATAGTCTGTGCCCAGCCCTGGCCACTTGTCCCCGCGGGTACCGGCCTGGTGGTGGGACTGTCACTGCCTGTGCTTGGCCGCCTGACGGGGAAGGGGGGCTGCCTGCAGGCAGGGCCTGAGTACCCAGCCGCGAAGACTCGGCTCTCGGAAGAACCAGCGAAGGGCACGAGGCCGACGTCGTCCCCCTTCGCCTGCCCCTTTCCTGACAAGCTCATCTCGTTAGTGCTGCTATTGCCTCTCGCGCCGTCCCGCCCGGTCCCCCGGTCCCGGCGCACTGTGCCCGGGAGGCGGCCTCCCTTGCGCACGAGGAGGGATGGTTTTCAAGTGGCTGAGTCCGGAGGGGAGAAGGCCGAGGCCGATGATCTAGCTTCGGGCTGGCTTGCAGAGCAGAGACTCCAGCTGCAGCTGGCTTCTCAGCCAAGCGGCGAGGAAATCGGGAGGATCACTTGGCAGCAGGACCGCTCCCTCTCTAGCAGCGGTGAGCGCGCGGCCGCGTGAGCCTCTCCCCGGAGCGGGGCGCGGGGCGAGCCAAGCAGCGTGCCGGACCGTGCCGTGTGTCGCTTTCCTGGTGGTCGAGGGCAGAGGCTGCCTCCTGCTCTCCGCCCATTAGCTCTCGGGCTGTGCCCTGTTTGCCGTGTGAATTGGGGCAGGAGTGTGAGCATCCGGCCCGTTCCAGCCCGGTTCTGCGCGGCGCCGCCGAATAGGCAGCAAACGTTCCTTAAGGGAGCTGGAGAGTCTTTCCCAATAAAACCCACATGCATTATTTAACATTGCGCTAACTAGGATATGACCAGAGGGAGAGACGTGCGCCGCATACTCCTGCGAGCAGCCAGGCTTAATAATGCCGCCTCTCCCCACCTGCTGCACGTCTGCGCTCTGGACCGGGGAACAGCGGCCCGGCCCGAAGGGAAGTCCGACCAGGCTCCGCGTGCCGCCGATCAAAGGAGCATGCTGGGAGCCAGGTGCAAAGGGCGTGCTTGTGCGTTCTTCCCCAGCGCCGCGCGTGCTTTGGACTGGGGCTCGCCGGCCTCTCAGCAAAACGCCTGTTGGTGCATCGGGACGTCAGCCATGCACATTAGCGGCCAAACTCCCTGTGTCCCCAGAGCCTCCACGCAGGGCGAGCGAGTTGTGTTGATCTTTACAGCTCTTTAGGAGTCTGCTGCAGCCGCTCTGGGCGGACGTGCCCCTGAAGTCAGGATGGAGATGGGACTCAGCGTCTCAGAGCAGAGGTGCGAAGCCCAAGAGCTGGGGAGCTCCTTATCTGCGATGCCGGGTCAGAGTGGGGCGAGATTCTCGCCTCTTGGGGGGCCCCGACTGACAGGTGCGTTGTTACCGGAGCGCCTGTTGAATAGGGACTTGACTCAGTCGGTCTGTTGGTTTATATCCTGCTTTACAGACACGGTAACTAGACCACACGGCGGGAATGGCCTAAGGAAATGTCATTTCAGTCCAGTTCAGGGTTAATCGAGCAGAGCAAAGTCCCCCCAAAAAGTCTTTGCTCTGGGGAGCAAGTGGGGGCCGTTACAAGGGCCTGTTTCAGCACCAGCGTAATCTGAGCAGGCTGGGAGAAAAGCTTCATGGGAGTGCAGAGCAAAGATGCTGAAAAAGACGCCACCTGCATGCAGCCTCCTTCAGCGCAAGCCAGAGATGCCACTGAGCCTGAGAAACGTGTGTGGTGGGCCCAGGAAATCCAGCTGTGTGACTGGCCTGGTGAGACTTGGGGAGCAGCAGGCTCTTGGCTCCTGTGCCAATCTGAGCAGGCTGGGAGAAAAGCTTCATGGGAGTGCAGAGCAAAGATGCTGAAAAAGACGCCACCTGCATGCAGCCTCCTTCAGCGCAAGCCAGAGATGCCACTGAGCCTGAGAAACGTGTGTGGTGGGCCCAGGAAATCCAGCTGTGTGACTGGCCTGGTGAGACTTGGGGAGCAGCAGGCTCTTGGCTCCTGTGCCCCCCAGCGGCTGTGCCGAGCCATGGGGCTGTGCCCCGAGGGCCAGGTCTGTGGGGCTCTGTGCGGCGCCTGCTCGATTGGTTTGCATCTCCTGGAGGGTTCCCAGCGGTGCCCCCGAGAGGAGGGGGAGGGGACACACCTGCGGCTAAGTTACGTTGCTTAGGGCGCACGTTAGCTGGCGTCAGGAGAGAAGCGGGCTCAGGCCGGCTGGCCGAGTGCGTTCCTCGGGTCCCGTGCAGGGTGCTCCGGTGGCGATCCGTCCTGCTGGGGGTGCCTGCATTGCCTCCCAGGGCAGGTGACTGGTCTGGTGAGACTTGGGGGGCAGCAGGCTCTTGGCTACTGTGCTCCCCAACGGCTGTGCCGAGCCATGGGGCTGTGCCCCGAGGGCCAGGTCTGTGGGGCTCTGTGCGGCGCCTGCTCGATTGGTTTGCATCTCCTGGAGGGTTCCCAGCGGTGCCCCCGAGAGGAGGGGGAGGGGACACACCTGCGGCTAAGTTACGTTGCTTAGGGCGCACGTTAGCTGGCGTCAGGAGAGAAGCGGGCTCAGGCCGGCTGGCCGAGTGCGTTCCTCGGGTCCCGTGCAGGGTGCTCCGGTGGCGATCCGTCCTGCTGGGGGTGCCTGCATTGCCTCCCAGGGCAGGGCGGGGGTCTCCTAAGGCTCCTGCAGTCGGCTGCTGCCTGAGCCAGGCATGTCCGGTTCCCAGGCACAGGCCCCAGGCACAGGCCCCAGGCTGCGAGGTTTCCCTGAGCCTGGGCAGTGCCCGTCCCTAGCTCGGACTCGCTCCCCTCCTTCCTGCATGGCAGGGCCGTGTTGGGTTTGGGAGCAGGGGAAAGTGCCCAGCCCCCGCGGAAAGCGGGGAGTAGCGCTGGGGAGCCCAGAGCGTTAGCGAAGCGCTGGCCTGGGTTGCCGGGGTTTCTGACGCGGCGCAGGCTGCGAGGTTTCCCTGAGCCTGGGCAGTGCCCGTCCCTAGCTCGGACTCGCTCCCCTCCTTCCTGCATGGCAGGGCCGTGTTGGGTTTGGGAGCAGGGGAAAGTGCCCAGCCCCCGCGGAAAGCGGGGAGTAGCGCTGGGGAGCCCAGAGCGTTAGCGAAGCGCTGGCCTGGGTTGCCGGGGTTTCTGACGCGGCGCAGGGTGACAGCAGGGGCTGGGAGGCGCGGGGCAGAAGAGATCCAGAGCCGGAGAGTCGCGGCGGAGATTTATTGGCACGGTCGGCATCAAAGCGCTGTGTTTATCTGAAAGCATCTGACACGTACTTACAGCTGGCGCTTGGGTGTTTCTGGAATTCTTCCGGCCCGACGTTCCGGGGAGAAGCTTTCCCACACGTTGTCTGTCTCCTAAACTTTCTGCACACACACCGAAAGCTCGTTCCGGGCCCAGGCTGTCAAGGATTCTCCGCCAGCTAGCTGCGTGTGAGCGCTGGCGCCCTGATCCCGTCTCCTCAGGCCCATGAATTGAGTCTGACGCCTCGGGAGCCCCGCGTTTGTCCAGGGATGTGAGCCGCGCAGCAGGGGACTCGGGGCCACGTGGCTCTGGTCTGACAGGCCAGTCTGCAATTCACTCTCCACCTTCCCTGTTCGCTGGCAAGACCCTGCCCCCCGGAGCCTGCCGGAGCCCGAGACGGTCCTGTTCATTTAGCGAAGGGGCCCTGCTTTCTCCGGCGCTGGGCTTTCCGTTACGAGGGTGGGGAGGGGACGCTCCGCAACGTCTGAGCGCTCCTGGGGTGCTTTGTCCACCCTGCAGTGGGCTCTGGCTTTCCCTGGCGGCTGCCGGGTGCTGGGGGCTTTGCACGTGCAGGGGAAGGGCTGGTTGGGGCCAGTGTCTGCTGCCCTGCAGGATGGGGGCAGGGCCTAGCGG